CAGCATGACAGCTAATGAGTAGATCTAAGGTAGAAGAGTGGTAGGGGAGATGCGATGTAGAAGGAAGTAGAGGGCTTGAAGGTGATATGGTGAAAGCCTCAATTGAAAACACAGGTCTGAGAAAGATGGTAGCTTTTGAATGGATATTAAGACTCTGGGTTTATAAGAAAGGAGGGGATGGAATGCTGTGAGGAGCTGTGGTCCTTCAGGGCAGGGGTTGGTGGTTCCAGGGCTTCTGGATTGAGAGAGGGTTCGCAAGAGGGTATCTTTAACTAGGACCCTGGTGTAGGGGCAGGACTCATACACCTGTCCCAGTCCTTTTCTTTCTTTATTTCTTCTTTTTCTTTTTTCTCTCCCTTGTCTGAAATATAGCAGCCTTATGACAAAGATAGCATTTGCTCATCTTTCATTTCTTTATTGTCTCATACAAATCATTGCAGTGTTTTCTTCCCTTTAATGGTGAGTAAATTCAGATGTTGTAGAGACACTCAAGTGAATATGACCTGGATTTTCTTTAGTGTATGACTCTGGATTGAGACAAACTGGAGTGAATAATGTTCTACAGCTTATCATTTTAATAAGTTGTGAAGTTTGAACTATCAAGAGAACTGTCCTTTTATACTTGTGTAATCATTAGAGCTAAACTTTTCAACAGAGCTATGAATTTTCGCCAATAACCTCAAGTTTATTCAAGAGATAGACATATAGCCTCCACCTATTTTCACTGCCTTAGCCCTCTTTCTTCTCTAATTAACCAAGATGCTAAGTTAATAGTATCTCTGCTTGCTTCAGAGGGAAAAAATGGTGTAAGATCAGAAACAAACCTCACTTTCAGACCAAAGAACTGTCAAAGATGAAGAAGAATCCTTAGCCGGGGACAGAATTCACTTGGAATTGCTAAATGCAAGTCATATAGTTGAGCTCAGAAGACTCTTATTATTGAGGTCAAGGTCTATTCTTTGGTAGGCGTTAAATACCATTATACTGCTTACCACATTTCTGTTAGCTTAGAGGAGCTTGAATTTCAGCTCTGACCCTTGTCTCTCTCTATAACTTCACAGAAATCATGTAACATTACTTTCTTGTTTCTCAGTCTGTGTGAGGTAGGTTCGAGAATATTCAGCTATACAACTGAATAGGCTAGCCTATGTTGGCATTAATCAGATGAAATACTCAGAGCACCAGGAAATCGGGAAGAGAAGGACATCTCATCCAACAGTTATCTGCTAATGATTTTGAGCATAGGAGACGTCCATTTTAATCACCATGCTACATTTGTCTGTTTTGCTTTGTTAATATGACATTTTTGCAGAATAAATTATGTCACCATATCTGATCTTCCTCAGGGTCTGTGAAGGACCTTCTCTCCTGGAAGTTTGTTATACCATATTTTAAAAACCTCATTGTGGGTCATATTGGTACAAAAATGAGAGCTAAATTTAGCTTTTATTGATGGAATTGGGGCTTGCAAACTCATACTTTTGCACAGAAGGTTTAACAAAGCTCTTCTTGACTAAGTACTGGAACTTTGCTATTGTGCCAAAGGAAAAGGGAAGGTTATGAAAGCAAAATCACTTAGTTTAGAAACTTGGTGGTTGACTTTTTTTAAATTCTGAGCTTGGTGTTGAGTTTTTGAGTGGGTAGGGGAATATATTGGGGGGGGGTTGGCAGAATCAGTTCATTATTAAAGGGAAGTCTAAACTCTGAAAACATTTTAACTAGTACCCTAGCTAGATGAAATGTCTTTGTCCGCTAAAGAACACGAAGTACTTACTATTTGTCTAAACAAAAGACTAGGAAATATATTAACAGATAATATCTGTTCTGAATAACAGTTTTGCTAACTGGAATGCATTTGGCTTTTATTACATAATCAAACCCAAATTATAAAATGGCAGGAGCTGTGTAGTCACATTCCTTATTTAGCGCTAGTGCTGTAGCCTGCTGAATTGTATGCAGATTGACAAGCTGGGAGTTGATTTCCTATTAAGAACAAGTTCAGCCCAACAGTCAGGACAAACTTCCTTACCTGACAAGAGAGAGCCCTTTCAAGAGGGAGATGAATTTCCTTTTGTCCAGCAAATTTGCCTTGCTACTTTCTTTGAAGAAGTCAATGGTTTTAACCTGAGGAACAGGAGGAAGAGCCCAAGCTTTTTGCATATCTTGATCATATCTGTGCCCAAATGTATCTATAGACCAATGACCTACATCCACAGCTCTTCCTGCATTACACTTTAAGGTATAGTTTCCAATGATCTCTGGAATCTGGGTTTATAATATATGGATATAGCATTTTCCCCTGTTTTGGACCTAAATAATGTGAAGTGAATGCATCAGAAATAAGCATGTATGTGTTTGGCTGGATCTGGGCCCTAATCTCAAATATAATATGTTTAGTTTCTTGGACTTGGAGATATTGGAGATACTCAAAACCTGACTGGACAATGTCCTGAGCAACCTGCTGTGATTGACCCTGCTTTGACAAGGGTGGTTGAGCGACATGATCTCCAGATCATCTCAGCCCTTCTGTGACTCTGTGACAGTGTTACCTTTTTGGCAGCTTTCAACTTGCCAAAGACAGAGATTGGAAGAATAGCAGCTAAGCTAATGCTTTCCAGTGAGACAGCAGGTCAGTACAGCCCGTGGGAAACACCACTACAAGCCACTGGAAGTGACCCTGACAGATTCAATCCTATCAGTTATTTTGTAGGCTCCTGTATATTCATTTGCATAGGTTCAACCAGAAAACACTGTGTATGTCAGGCAATATTCTAATGTTGAGAAATTTCAGTCACATCTTGTGTTAAGGGAGTGATGTGCACTTTTAAATTCTAGCTAAATAAGAACCAGATTTGATAGATTATTTTTTTGAATAATCATTTGATATGAAGAATGTCTTTGGAGAATGTGCAAAATAATGCTCTCCTGTATCTACGTGTGATTGGGCAAGGGATGGAAGAGGCCAGAAAGATATGGATTCATTTCTCATCTTTGCCACTGGATTGTTGGGGGTTTTTTTAAGTCCTTGTAGAGAGCAAGGTGCTTTGATTTCTTGCTCTTTGAAGGAGGCCATCCTACAGGTCTCCGTAAAACAGCTGTGGGAACATGGACTTTGCTAAGAGTCACAATATGAAAAAGAACTAGCCAGGCTTTCAAGGGATCTAACAAATGTTTTATTAAGTTCTGTAACAGGATTAGATGCAGCAGGAATAAGTCTAAAACCTTAAGTGTTAGAGTAAAATAGTTTCTTTTTAAAAGTATGGCATTGCTAATAGACTAATAAGGGCACTAGTTATTTTGAAAAATTTGTAGACAAGGTAGATAGAATGTTTTAGAATAAAGTACACTTTGAAGAAATTAAAAAATCAAGTTGTGTTTTTAATCTTTTACAGTTAATTTACTGCTGTAACAACACTGTTACTGTAATGCAGTTAAGTTTAATGTTAACCAATAGAATAGTGTATTCAGAGTATGTTGTAGAGAACTTCATCAATAATTGTAGCTTAGTGATATGTATGTTGTTTGATGGATTTTAGGGAATTGGAGAACATACTTGAATTTTTAATGAAAGGAGGAGCTGTGTCTGTTCTGGTTTTGGGAGAATTTTTTGCCAGCCAGGAGAGTAAGAATGTGATAATTACCACAGGTTTACTTCAGCACCATTCTTACTGAGTTTTCTTTATACTGTTAAAGAGTACTAATCTTCAGTCTTTTAATGGATTAACTTCACAAACATGCTTGATATTCTGAAATAGCTGTAAATGTTTCCATGTGAACCTCTAGGATGAACTGAATTAATAGAAGATACTGCACTAATCTATTTTTCTAACAGTCAAAAAGTGTACAATTCTCATTTACGCTAGAGGTTTGTATTAATGATTTACTTAAAAAAAGTTTACAAATTATATTCATACTGCTGGAGTTGGTAATTAATGCTATTAATAAGTACAGAAACAGTCTGGAAATACTTGATATACTTGGATACAATGAAAAGGAGTATTCTCCAAGTCCCTACTACAGCTTTCCTAAATCTGGTTTTTATAATTCACAGTAAAAGTGGTAGATGGTGGGGACACTCATAGAAGCGCCACTTGGATAAGTAGAAAATTTCATCTGCTTACCTAAAGACAGAATTGGGAAGCTTGTTTGACTTGCATTTATTTTTAAGATTCCTCTGTTGAGTGTAGAGAGGAGCTTTACCTGCTGCAATTTAAGGAAATCTAGCAGTGAGGCAGTATGCTGAATGAAACACATCATTTCCCTGAAGCAAAGGAGCATATTTTGAACTGTCAGTTTACTACAATGTTTGTTTAGCTTTCTGGATCCACGTGAATGTATGTAACGTAATTTGCAAGTGTTTTGAATAATATAGACAATAAGATCAAGGAGCCTTCCAAAAAGAACAGGAAATTAAAAGGGCATAATTCTTCTTTTCTTAACCACTGGACCCCAGTTAGAGCCTTACACAGGTAAACAAAAGCAGAAAAATTAGGTAGCTTAGAGCAGTTGGAAAGAGGCAATTCATATATAGAGACTGCAATGTAATAAAATGTCAGCTGTAAAAGCAGACCCAAGAGAATGTCAGGGAGCATACATCTTGCCACACTGCTTAGAGAGAAGAAATTAAATGCAAAGATGAGAGTGGCAAAGCAAGAAGAGATTGTTTCATTCTTCCCATCCTCACCTTAAGGACTGAGTCTCACTTACTGTGTTATAAGAAGTAAGGGTTTTGATGTTTAAGCTAATTTTGCAGAGCTTCAAAAGCTTAATTGGCTTTGCTGCAATAACAGTTGCTCGTTTCCGCATTTTATTGTTTTGGGAAGTGCGGAGCATGACCGTCAGCAACTTCAGAGCGAGTTGTGGGGTGGCACACTGCTGAGAGCCTCTGGGAGCAGATGTTGAACCACAGGTCCAAAACCTGACATTCTTTACAATTTGGAACTTTTTAATAAAGAAAAGTGCTTTTGTTAAGTGGTTATTTTTTCCTTATCTATTCTCAGGGTTGCTCTTGTGGAAAATATTCCTGAAGGGATCAACTATTCAGACAGTGCACCATCCCATTTGTCTCTTTTCCAAGGCTGGATGAATTTGCTTAATATGGCTGAAAAGTCTGTTGACATAGTATCTTCCCAGTGGGACCTCAATCACAGTCATCCATCAGCATGCCAGGTATGTTCTAGCCTAACAAAAGGGTGGGACTTTAACAATCTGTTCTTGTTGTTTCACTATTAATTTTTTAGAACTACAGCCCTTCCCTGTAGCAGACCTATTTTGGGGGGCAGTCTAAAAAAAACATTTCCTTATGGGGATTTTCTTGCCAATACAGTAGTTTTCTGAGAGTGGTGGCACGCTTGGACTAGATAACACATCCAACACATATTCATATCACCTCCATCTTAGGAAAGGATGTCATTGTGTAATCCTAAGAAACCTCCAAAATTGTACCTATATTAACACATCCATAATTTGGGAATATCCATAAATCTATACACTTATTTTCTATTTGGTGCAACTGATGAAGGAAAAGAGCAAGCATGTGGATTAATTCTGCAGCCAAATAGATGGATAGAATTACACTTACAAAGAACAATGTAGTATCAGATGATTTCTCATACCTTTTCAAAATGAATCTTGGGAGGGAGTAGTGTTCAAGACCTCTGCAATTAAGAGCAATAGGAAAAATCATAAATCACAGTGAATGAGACAGACATGCATTATAATGATGCTGTGCCAACAAACACTTTATCCTTGAGAGCAATCCTCTTAGAAATATGGTAAGGGCAGTCTTCCACTTAGTATCACTTGTGAAACTAAGATATCAAAGAACTGATAGGCTGAGATTATCTCCTCTTTTCCACCAAATGGATTCTTTGCTGAAAGAAGCCACTCAGCTGACATGAAATGGGGTTAAAATGATAGCCAGGTAACTGTAAGGAATCAACTCTATTATACTATGTTATAAACTCTTCACTTTCCTCTCTAGTTCTGTTGATGTGGTGTGGTAAAAATTGCCTTTCGGTAGATGATAGACAAAGACTGGTATTCTGAGTAACTAAAGATAGTACTGCAAATAACCTGTATTTTCAAGTCATGAACTGGATTCTACTCTTGAAAGAGGCTGTAGCCTAGTTGAATGGCATACATTAACTTTTCTTCAGAATAAATCTGCTGCATGTCCATTTAAAAGCGTGAAAAATCTGAGGTGAGCAGCCAAATGGAAAATGTAGTGCAAACCCTTCCTTTTAGAATGCTTATAAATATTGGAATACAGTTTGTGAATAAATTTATTGAGTATCAAAATATTGAGATTTTTCACAATGTAATTATGCAGCTAAGCTTTATTTAAATTTATTGCCTAAGAAACTTCAAACCCGTGTACTGTCATTCAAGCAGATGAATTCAAAGAGATAGTGCCTTAGATGTTTTTAGGATGTGCATGAATTGGTGTGTGCATGAATCTTTTAAAAATGTTTTGTCTGAAAAAAAATTCAACATGTCATTTGCTTCAAAACCAGCAAAGCCTAACAAATCCCAAACAGAGGACAAACATTGCAAACTGAAAATTGGGATTTTGGTAGTTAAGCATCAAAGCCATTCACTGTTCCACATTCTCATGCAAAGTAAAAACTGTAAGATATTGCCAAACGTCAGAGCAGGGAAAGGAAGAAGAGACATGTAAGAAGTGGATTTGCTCTTTCATCCTCAAATGCACTGTTAAAGCCAGAAAAATGAAACATTTTTCATAATATTCTATTCTAGTTATCTATTTCTCCTGCTAGTAGTCTTACAAAAATGAGTAATTGCTTCTGTTTAAAGGCAATTAATATTCTAGTCATTTCCTCATTTGTACAGCAGTGTGGGCTGAACAGCTGATAGATCTTTCTGTCAAGCTTGTCTATTCATGCTACAACACAGTACTGTTATTGGCCAGTCTAATTGCTAAAGAAATTGCCAAGAGGCAGTGTTTCTTAGCAAATCCCTGCCCGAGAGAATGTACACAAAGCTTAGTGTGTGAAAGGGAAGGGAGAAAACTTGCACTGTTACATCTGCTCTCTCCACTTGTAAAATGAAATTGAAATTTCAGAGGACCTTCAATAACTGTAATCTAGTAATTTTCTGATGTAGAATTCGAATGTCCTCAAGTCTTTACAATTTGAGTTCAGGGAAATTTGCCCCAAAACAGCAGAAACATTATGAAAGGTAAGGGGGTGAGATGCAAAACTTCGGGGTAGTATGGTGCTTGGTGTGTAAGTTCTAGTCATTCCTTGAATGATTCTGGTTTTATTAGAAACTAAGGACATAACCATTTTCCATATGGACCCACATCCTGCTCTATAACTAGCAATTTCCATTTTATGAATATTCAAGGCATATTGCAAAGCAAGGTTCTCTACAAGAGCACTTCAACAGACGTGGATTTTTGAAGGAGAAAAGCTGAGTAGGCTTGATTGCTTTTTCTTAATTAGTTACAAGGTTTAGCTACATTCTCTGTATATGTGTTGGTGGAGTTACATACACACATGCATACACATATATACGCACGTATGTCCTATATATATTGAAGAAAAATACAGGAGGAAATTCTGCAGCTTTATATATACACATAGATATAGATATATGCCCAATATACATATCATCCATATGTATACATATTGTCCAATTTGTCCAAATGTATATTGGACATGCATATATATGTATGTATACATGTGCATATATGAAATTGCAGAACTTTCTGCTGTATTTTTCTTCATTTTTATTTGTGAGTATGTTACCTCATGTCCTTGACAGTTGCCTGTCCACTTTTTGTTGTTATAAATCTAAATAAACAGTCATTGCTGACTGAGCTGTCCAGGTCACAACTGCTGTGCTCAGTCACCTGAATTGATAAGACTTGCTAAATTGGAGTCTCCAAATGCAAACACATGATGCTACAGTGTTTTGTGTGCTTCTACAGCTTAAGTGGTCAAGCAAACAAATAGTTGTTTGGCAAAATACTGAGTAGGCTTTCTACACCTGCTTTTCTCATTCAGAAGAAAACCACGTGGTTTGGTGACTTTGTGTTGTCATCTGTGCATTTTCAAGATAGCAGGGTAGTTGTCATGTAGAGGCTTTGAGATTTTTGCAGAATGTGAATGTGTGACTCATCCTGTGGCAATGTGATGTTTAGAGATATCAGAGGACAATGGAAACAATTTTTGAGGATAACTTTTAATTCATTTGCAGTGAAGAGAGGGGTCAACATAAGATCATGCCAATCTCAGGATTTTCACAATTCACTTCCTCTGGCTCATCTCATGTTTAGAAACTTTAACTTAGAGTGACAGCAAGTCCTTCCTTCTGAATTTCATTTTATGTTTCACAAATAAGAATTAATGCCATCATGGTTTATTGGTATTGCCATGAGTATCGCACAGCTCTCCCTGGATGGCTATTTGAATGGCCATAAGATCATTTAAGGCTAGATCGGTGTCTGGTTTTCACAATGATCACGTAAAAAATGGATGGTTCTGACTTTATTTACCTACCTATTGTGCAGCTCCCAAATGGTTTGATGGGAGAAGTCTCCCACTCCATCAGATAATATGTCTCATGTAATCCAGCTGTCCAGCTTTGTAATGAGTCTTTGATGATGAGTCCTGTGTCACTCAGACATGCATTGCCCAAGGATCTTAAGTGATTTGTTTGGTAGAACAAATGTTAGCATCAGAGCTTAAGTACCAGTCCTTGACAATTATTAAAAAATCACAAATAAGTACAAAGAAGAGCACACCTCCAAACCTAACAGCTACCAGCAGAAATCAGCTACAATCAGCTGTAGAGATCACAGTGTATTTTCTTTTCTGTAAGGTCATCTTTACGCAAACATCTCTCCTTCTCAGGTGCTTACATTTCTCCAATGCAGCTGGTACAGACTGAGGCATAGAAAAGAAATTTAAAAAGGAGAGTTTCTAAAATGAAAGCACATTCCCTCCCTTTTCATTAGCTGTGTTGCTAGAAGAATTTGAGGACAGCATTTGTTCTGTATTAAATAGGAGAAGTTAAAGTTAGGATTTCTTTCTTTATTTGCTCTATTGGTTTCTGCTAGCATGCTATCATTTTTAGTGATGTTTTATAGATATACCCAGAGGCTAGATCATAAGACAACTTTTAAAAATATTAGTAGAATTACATAGAGTAAATCCAGAGAAAATTCTGGAAGTAACCAGTTTTATTTCCATGGAAAGAAAAAGATAAGCATTGTCTAAACTGTAGGAATCTAAGTTACTGAAGAGCACAATAATTCAATTTTAGAGTACTTCAGTAAATACAGCATTTTCATGTTCGTATCTTTTCTATTTTATTTTTAATGAGGAGAGCATGCTGATAAAGACAACAGCAGGCAAGGGAAATCAACCAGGCTAAAATCAGTCTGCCTAGTGACTGCTAAGAAATTGCTCTGAGAGCAGGGCCTTTTGGTAATGATACCTTTCTTTTTTTTAAATTCACCAGGTGGCTGTGGCAGGGTACAGTTGGGACTGATGTTTCAGATGTACAGTAGTTTAAAGCTACCATGAGAATGTCAGTTTGTTCATGTGATAAGTACTTTTTACATCCTATTTTGTCACTTTCAGTAGGGTTTTTGAAACAGCCCAGTGAAAAGTGTAAGAGAATATTTTATCAAGATAGGCAGATTTCTGGTGGTATTGTTTGTTAAAATGCAGATATTGTATAAGGTAGCATGCTGCAGTTTCATAGCACTTGGCTGCTACTATTTCTCAGTCCTCACAAGCTGGGTATATAGAAATGATTCTGATCACTGTCACGTAGTCACGCAGCAGCCTGGTATTGTCTTGCAAAGTGAACGTGGTCTGAATGACAGCATGAGGGTTTGCATTGAACAGAAGCATTTCAAATTTGCTGACAGCAGTAACAAAACTCTTCAGACCTTCTGTCCTGTCTTTTTTCCTTTTCATAGAACAAACCAGTAAAATTGCAAGTAAACATGTCAGAAAGTATAGAATCTGAGTTTCAAATTAATATTAATGGGGAAGAAGGCCAGGTTCTTCAACAATGAAGGAAGAATTTCTAGTACCCTACTTTACTATAGTACATACAGATTTTTAAAAGCAAGTTGTGAATTTTTCATAGTGTCTAGACTAAGCCTTGGTGAGTGTATGATTGCCTGCTGAGGGATGATGCAGAGAGAGATGAAGCAGAGGGAATTCCTTCCAGTTCTGGCACCGGGTGGTGTTTTTTGTATACCTGTATAAACACACATATTTGTGGTGAGTGCACCCCTAGTCTTAACCATTACTACTTAGAGATGCTTTAAATGTTTTATCAATTTGAGGGTTTACCATTTACGAACATAATTGGACAAAAAAGGATATTATAAATGCATAGCTTGTGGTGTCCTTGATGGGAAAAGGGATGTATTTTCAGAGAAGATGTCTTCATTGGAATGCAGGACTGCACTCCAAGTGATCTATTCACCCATAGGATGGGCCGTTCAGCTGGCAGCATGGCCTGTAAGAGACAACCAGGTGATCCATTAAGGATGCTATGTTGGTTGCATCAGGGCATACTAAGATCAGGTAAAACTCAGGAAATGCTGCCATGTTATTTTTTGTTCAAAATAAAATTAATACAGAAAGTACAGGCTTGTTTATCAAAGCTTTTGTAAATCATATGTAAATAAAATATTGTGCAGATAGAAGTGGCAATAATGTCCAAAAATAATTACCATGGGAAAAAAACTTAAGAAACCATCCCCTGAAACAATTAATTTTATCAGCTTTAGATGTTAACTTTCTAAGCATTTCTTTAGCAGAACAGTTAATGCGTTAATTCGTATTGATAATGTGAATCACCTTCCATCAAATTTATGAACGCTTTGCCCATGTTTATTTTTGTATGCTAGAGCTTTCTACTCTGCTTCTAGTCAAAAATCAGCTTTTACAGATAACCCAAACAAAAACAGTGTTGTCTCTGTCTTTCTACCTAGTAAATGAAATCAACACATAGAACCTTTCCGAGTAGCTGTTTCTACATATAAGTTGAATTAATTTACATCACACAAGCCTTTTAGTCCTTAATTTTCCCTGCTCACTTTTTGCAAAGATATAGCTAATAAAAATCAAAACTGCTGGTGTCTCCAGTTGGTGGACCCAGAAGAAGTGGGTCCAAAGGCTGCCTGAGCCTTGCAGCGAAGTGATTGCTGTTCCCAGTTTCAGTTAGTCTAGCAGCGTCAGTCCACAGCAATTGCAGGAGAGACCCTCTTGGGGGGAGCAGGGCCCCCAAGAATACTGGTCAGTGCCCCTCTGCTCCCCCAGAATCACAGTGCATAACTCTGCAGCATCCATCCCCTCCACCCTGTTATCTCATTAATTCTTACCTCTGGCAACAGCTGCTCCTATTCTCCTTAAAAAAACCCAACCCAATCACTGACGTGAGAATTAAGGATCCTTTTAGCTTCATGAGGAATGGGAGGGAAAGCCACTCCTTGACTTGCACAGCAACTCAGTAAGGGCATTTCAGTGTGTGAGTTGAATCATGGGTGTTATTTCTTAGATATGGGACCACCTAGTCACCTCAAGAAATGCTGAGTGTGAGTATAAGGAGCATTTGGAGTTTCATGCAAACCATGTTTTCGTTTTCCTGTTCTGCTAGCCGTTGACTAATGCTTTCATTATGGCAGTATCTTGTTGACTACTGAGTTCCTGTGAGCCCTGGGATGAGCAGGGAGCTATGTTGTGGATTTGAGCCAGCAAGCAGGCATACATTACAAAATTAAAACATAAACAGTAGTTCTGTGTTTCCACTGCAGCCTCTGGCTGCCCTGTAATTTTGAGGAAGCTAGTTTTTAGGAGGCTGGGTATTCTTACTTTGCCACATATATTCAAAATAAGTGAATATTAAAAAATAGGTCTGTACTGTAGACAGACGAAGAGCTACTTTCTGTGACTGCTTAATGCTTAAGGCCCAGCACAGCTCCACGTGTCAATCTGTGCAGGCAATTTACGGGGCAAAGGGTGGCTTTCCACTGTCTGCTGCTTCTGGGTGGGAGGTGGGAGGAGGGCTCCTGTCTGAGGTTTTGTTGGTCCGTGCTACGTCAGATTGCATCATCCCAAACTGCTTTTGCTTTGGCCATTTTTGTTGAATAGAAAGATCCTTTTAAGATTTTTAGAGTAATAGTTTGTACAGAGAATTATCTAACACGGTTCTGTGGAAAGCTTTATCTTCTACCTGTTTGTTTGAAAGTTGATACGACTGTTGCTTTTCTGGTTTAGCTTTACTTTGTGGCCAGCATTATATTGTATCTAAAGTGAACCCTGTAGGTAGAGCAGGCACTTTGTCAGCTGCTTAAACCCAAAGTTTTTGTGTATTTGACTGCTAACTGTAACTGGTGTCTGCTGTAGTAAGCTAGAATGGTAGCAAGGAAATGGGTTCTAACTGTGGTTGTAGTAACACAGCACAGTATTGATACACTGGGTATTTTATTCTTGACCTTGTGTAGTTAGATGCTTCTAACTAAGCGTTTTTCTTTAAGTTAAAATATTAAATCTAAAAATTAAACATTTACTATGCAATCAGAAAGTCTACTTTTTCTTTGTTTCTTGGATATGGAAAAATGTGGCCATTTAAAATTTTATTTTTCATGTGAAACAAATGTCTTGATTTCTGGTTTAACACGTATCTAGCTGAGTATGAGATTCCCTTTTTTGTTCTGCGTTAGAAATAGGGCTTAAATAGTAAAGTTACAACACTGTAAAAAGGAAAAGTATATGAAATACATGTAGATCATTGTTTTCCTTCCTTGTATAGCTCATTTAAAGATGAGTGCACGACCGCTTGAAAATGTATTGTACTATGGTTAGAACCACTTACAAAAAAAATCATTCAATACAGAATAAGTGTAATAAACTCTTTTCCTTGCACTTTTAATCCTGATTTAACAGAATGTAATTATTTAGAAGTTAATGTAAAAATATGTTTATGCACCATAAAAAACCTGGACACTTCATTCTCCGCATGTCACCTGTCATCAATAGTATTGCACAATCTGGGAAAAGAAAGAAGCAAGTTTGGTCTTCAAAATGGTATTTGTCCAAGAAAAAGTTTGAGCTGCTAACCATTAGGGTAGATTTAACCATACCTAGGAACATATTTACTCAACTGTTTTACAATATGTTTTTGTTTTAACGTGTGTCTTTAATTTGTTGATATGCTGTTTGAACAATTCTATTCTTACAACAGTCTTACAACTTCTGCTTTGCTTTAATGTTCTTCCCAGGGTCAGCGTCTTTTTGAAAAATTGCTTGAACTGGCATCCAGAAATATTGAGATAAAACTGGTGAGCGATATACTGCCCATGGAATCAAAGGTATTAAACGACTTGAAAACAAAGGGTAAGACCAAGGTCTTTATGTTGTTATGCCATTGACTGCTACGTAATGTTCCTTTTACTTAAAATGCAGACTCAGATGATGTATACAATGCACACTACTGGTTTAGCACTGTTACCCTATAGTCCTTCAGCTTTCTCTGGTTCATAGTTATCAAAAATCTGAAACTCTGTTACTGTAGTTGAAGTTTGCAGTTTGCAAGTGGCTAAAAAGGTAGTGCAGTGATTGGATAGATGTTTAAACTCACTATAGCCATTCTAATGTAGGCAACGTAACCTCAGAGACTGCTGTCATACCTTGTGGGACAAGACAGTTTCCTCTTTTAAGCAATAGCAAATTAAATTAATAAAACAATATGTCTGTGGTACAGATGATTCTGAAGCACTGGAAAATGGAGTGTCAGTCAGATTTAGCCAACTGACAAGTTTTTCTGTGCTATGTGTATTTCGTAGGTGCCTGCTTTCCTAATTGTTTTTTTGAGGCTTAAAATCCCTATCCAAAGAGGGATTACACACTGGCACTACATGACTAAACTTGCTTTATGTAAAACTGTGTGGAAAAATAGCACAGAGAGTTTAAGAAATGCTGAAAGAAATTAGAATCTCTTAGGAGTTTTAGAAATCTCATACATACTTCTGAATAATAATACATTAATTATCTATATAATCTGATAAAAGTATGATTTTAAGGGTAGGATACATTTTTCAAAGGACGAAAGAACTTATGTATTTTGATGATGATCATTTTTGACACAGATTACTATGTGGATCACAAAGGGAATTCTAAAAAATAAATTAAGCAAAGCAGTTGCTATGTGTAGCAGCACCTTAACATAACATGTCTGATTATGGTAAAGAATAAAGAACACCCTTTTCCAACAAAGATCAATCTTTATTTGTTTAAATTCCTTGTAACCTCACTGGGCAAGTAAAAGAACACTACTGATGGAAGTCCTGGTCCCTTAAAGAGATCATCTTTTGATCAATACTGACATGTTATTTAAATGCAATAAGTACAGAGACTTGTCATATCACCAGACTGCCTATTCCAGGGCTTTGATTATTTCTGTTACACAACCAAAAGTGATATTGATCCTTTGATAACCAGTAAGAATACATTGGCTTTGTCAGACGTCTGTGAAGTAAGGAATTATCTTCTTCTGATGTGTTGGAAAAGAAATAGGTATTTTAATATCAATGTCAGTGAAACTGCCTTTGAAAAAGTGGTTTCTTTTCCCTGTGATTCTAATGTCCCAAGTTCCCGTGAGTCAGAGGAGGTGAGAGGTAGGGCCTGTACATTTATATTGATGTACCTGGCAATAGATATTTTAGCTATCATTTATTGAGAATACACAAGATCAAAACCTATGCTCTTTCAAAAAAAGATGAGTAAAAGTTTTAGCTAGAAAAGGGAGCGATGTTTGTCATTAACATTTCCTTCAGTTTATGTGGGAATTAATCAGACCTGTGAGTTTTTGAACAAACAAATGAACAGAACATAGGCTTTTACAATTTTACTCGCTTCAGTTTCCCTTATGCCTTGTTCAGATCTCTAAGACAGGAAATTTTAGAGTATTCAAATGAAGTGATCAATATATTTGAGTGCTCTGAGCTACAAATCGGAGAAAGTCGCTTTTTTATAGTAACTTTTGTGAATTCTGCTGTCATTGTCTTTGAACCCTGTAACTGTAGATATCATTGTGTACTGTTGGTCTTTTTCAAAGATCAATATTATAACTTCTTGCTTTTCTCACTATGAATATTTTTTTTCCTCATTCCATGTTTTGGTTTGCTTATTTCCACAAATTCTGATATTTTTGTTAGAACGTCTTGATTATGACGTGGTGATTGCCAACTCTGTTGCAAGTCTTTCACCTGCATTTAGGTTTGTTGTTTGGTTTTTATATCCAGGAAAGCTAGGTAAATCTTTATTTGGTTCTGCATTCCTGAAAAGAGATAAGTTAATTTTAACATTCAATCAAATTTAGTTGTCTTAATTTTATGTTGAAATGAGCAGACCTTATATGAACAGCAGATTCATGGTATGTCCTGCTTGTGTCAAATAGAAGCTAACTGGTAGGCTAGCTTAAAAAAAAAGACTACTCCAATTTCCATTAGTTCAATAATATTAATAACACAGTAAATGGAAAACGTATCTATATTAGCCTTTTTCATGTCTGCTGGAGAAAAAAAAAATTACTATTACCTACTACCATTGTCTTAGCTGAGGATAAATGTATCATTAAGCTTTGCTATGCTATCCTGGAAGCTCTGTCTACTAAAACCATTAATCTCTTTGTTCATGAGGCACTGGCCACCTGCATCCTCAGAAATCAGTCAGAATTGATTCTTGAAAGGGAACTGTGCATCATCATTTGAACATGTATATTCATGAAGATAACTAATTCTTTTTTCCCTGCAACTGGTCAGATTTGTCTTAGAAAGTATGCCATGCACCCTTTTTAATAGAAATGTTCCTCGTGTGGGAAAGCAAGCAGTAAATATATGAATAGCTCAGCCAAGTTTTGAAGCTTCTTGAGATGGAGAACCAGAATACATTTGGCTGGACAGACCCAAACTCCCACTTGTGGTGTCTGTCTGAATTAGGCAGAGGAGGGTCCAAGCACTGCTCTGTGGTTCACCAGCTAATAAACTGAGCTGATTATTCCTAAGCAGCAAATACACTTGGAGCCCGAGCCACAGGCAGTAGTAGCATGGAGAGAAAGCACATATATAGCCTGTGGGGCTCTGGAGCTTCATGCGTTCCTGAGCCTGCCTTCACCTTGCAAGGTAAGCATAGGCTAGCCTCTTCTTTCCAAGGCAGATAGTATGCGAGAGTCAGACTGTCTCCAGGTCGTGGGCTGTCCTACGAAACGTAAGAGGCAGTTGCTATTGCACAGAGAAGGTGGAAGAGCCTTGCCTTTCTTTTTGGCAGACTGAGTGCTCAGAACCCCTGAGCTATGCCCCCATGCTATGCGGGCTGGCTCCTGGGGTCAGGGTGAGGGATAATTTGGGTGTCAGCCCCAGGACGTACCTGTTGATATACTGCCTGGGAAGCTTTAAGGATGCTGCAGTTCCTCAGCCCGTGGTTATCTACCTTACGCTGCATCTTCAGGGAGTGTGCCCTTTCTGACTTAAGCAGCCCAGGTAACTGTCTTAGTCTCAACACAGTGGCATGGGTTTATATGTGGTTGCTTGAAGAACTATACTTGCTCATCCATATGGTCTCATGCAGTGGGTTTGGGTGGGTTTTTTTCTACTAGGAACCATGATATGTTACAGCACTGCTGCATCTCAGCACAGTTGTTGAGACTATTTCTGCCAGCCAGATTATTCTAGCACATCTTTCATTTTTCTAGACCGGCATGCATGGACCCCCATTGCCTCTTCTCCCCATTTCTGAAGTACTGTAGAAAGCAGCTTTGGTAGACCTTTTTCAACCCAGGGGTGCATCCTAGAGTCCTCCCTACACATCCTTCCTCTCCAGCAGCCGTCCCTACTGATTAACAGAGGAGAAAGTTGAAATCTGACTTCAGATTTGAGCTGATGGGGTAAGATAAATCATAATTTATGTGGACAGGAGAGTGGAACTGAACTGATGTAGAGTAAAATAAAATTAGTAATTTGCAGTTGCAACATTAGTACAGATATCTGAGCTAGCTGTGAATCTGCAGGTTTGTCGCCACTGTTAAGCCTTTTTTTTGGCATGCCTTCCCTATCCTGACTCTCTTGAGCTAGATGTAAAACAGGGTAGCTTGATTACAGAAGCAGTCTAGCAGCTGCAGCATGAAACATGAATTGATTTACTGTGCCAACACATAACACACCTAGAGCTGTGGTGACAGGAGCCTCTGAGTGCTGAGATAATGTACATTTGCTAATAATTCCTGCACTTTGGGAGCATTATTTAGTTGCGAAATTAAGTATGCAGAAATGAGGAAATACTAGTCCCAGAACGTATATTTATGACAGACTTTAATTACGTTATCAGATTCTATATTTTGCATGGAATACCTGCCTGTTACTTGCTATAATCTTACCACATTAATCAGAAGTTTTTCCTTCGTATTGAATGAGAATATGTCAAACATTTAATGCCTAAGGCAGATGATACTCATTCAGGGGATATTATTTCTGCTGGTAATGGCTAGAATCTTTTTTTATCTTCATATTTAATGTATGTCTCCAGGCTTTCTTTATTGCACATCTGCCAGATCCTGCACTGAATGCAGAATGATTAATTTCCTCATAGGCTTTTCTGTGCTGCTTCTTACTGTGGTACCCGACTGCTCTGCAAATACAGTATTAATGAATTTCTTTTTACAACATCACTGTTAGGTGAGGTCGCTTGCTGTTTCTGTCTCTCGGGGACAACTAGTGATTATTAATGGCAGCACAGGCACCAGAAGCCAGACCTGAGCATTTGTTTTCTATAGGCATAACTTAAAAAAATGTATATTAGTAATTTAAAAAAATCAACTACATGTAAGTTCTCTCAGCTCATGTTGTCAAAATTATTACTAAATAGACTATAAACGATGATGTTATTTTTATAGGACCTTTTGTAATATGCAGTCCTAGGGTGTGAAGTCTTACTTCTCTATAGTTAATGTTAAAGCTATATTTCACTTTCACATATGTATACAAATACTATGCATATACATATATGACTCTCTTGTGAAAGGTAGGTCTGCCTGTAGGCAAAATTTGGCTCACTGTGTAAACAAACATGTTCTTTTTTTATCCTCCTTGTGCTGTGACAGTAGCTTATTAATGCTTGTTTTCAAGGTTATTGTTTTAGCCTTTTCTCAGCTGTGGTTCAGTTTACTAGGTTGAAACATTTCTTGTAACCCTCCCACTCCTTGCGCATAATTATGTACCAGTCTTTGTTCTTCAGTAGTATTTGAATAGTATCGTCTCCCATTAGCAGGTGGTTGTATCATTTCATACGTGTACAGAATCTAAATCCTTTACTAATTACAATCTTATTTTAGCTGACAGTGT